AATAGATATTTACAGAACATTTCACCCAACAGGTGGAGTACACATTCTTTTCCTTAGCACATGGAGCATTATCAAGGATAAACCATATGTTAGGCTACAAAACATGTACCCCAAATTTAAAAATATTGAAATTATATTAAATATATTTTCTGACCATAATGGACTAAAACTAGAAATCAATAACAAGAAGAATTTTGAAAAAAATATAAACACATGGAAATTAAAAAAATATGCTCCTGAATGACCATTGAGTCAATGACAAAATTAAGAAGAAAATTTAAACATTTATTGAAGCAAATGAAAATGGAAGCCCAGCATATTAAAACTTGTGAGATACAAGAAAAGCAGTACTAAGAAGGACGTGTACAACAATAAATGCTTACATCAAAAAAATAGAAACACTTCAAATAAACAACCTAATAATGCATTCTAAGGAACTGGAAAAGCAAGGGCAAACCAAACCCAAAATTTGTAGAAGAAAAGAAATAATAAAGGTCAGAGTAGAAATATATGAAACAGAGACTAAAAAAAAAAATACGAAAGATCAATGAAATGAATAGTTGGTTTTTTGAAAAGAAACACTTTCAAAATATATGAAGAGGCCAAACACTTCCTCACCATGTTAGTTGCTACCACCCTGTTTCAGCCTATCAGCTCTCACCCAGATTTTCGTAACAGTCTCGTGACTTGTCTCCCTGCTTTCGCCCTGCTATGGATGTCCAATTGAAATCTAAGTCAAATCAGTTCCCTTCTCTGCTCCAAGCCTTCAAAGGCTCCACATTTTATCCAGACGAAAGTCAATGTTGTTGCCTTCTCCCCACCTTCCTTCTGCAGCCTCACTTCCACACTGTCCACACTACCTTCTTTACCTTCTTCTTGTCTCTCTCTCTCTTTTTTTTTTTTTTTTTGAGAAGAAGTCTCACTCTGTCACCCAGGCTGGAGTGCAGTGGCACAATCTCAGCTCACTGCAACTTCTGTCTCCCGGGTTCAAGTGATCCTCGTACCTCATCCTCCTGAGTAGCTGAGATTACAGGTGTGAGCCACCACACCCGGCTAATTTTTGCATTTTTAGTGGAGATGGGGTTTCTCCATGTTGGCCAGACTGGTCATGAACTGCTGACCTCAGGTGATCCACCCACCTTGGCCTCCCAAAGTGCTGGGATTACAGGCATAAACCATTGCACCTGGCCTCTGGTTGTCTCTTGAACCTACCAATCATGACCTTTACACAGGAACTTTACACATGCTCTTCCCACTGTCTCATATGTTTTCTATGGCTCACCCATCCATTTTCCTCAGGTCTTTACTCAAATGTCCCACAATCAGTGTGGCTTCCTTGACCATACTACTTAAAATTGCAACTCCTGTCCTGTAAATTTCCTATTCTCCTTCCCTGCTCTATATTTCTTATAGCACTTATCAGTATCTTATCATACAATATATTTAATTTACTCATTCAGTTTATACTCTGTCTCTCCCCATTTGAAAGTAAGTTCCATGTAATCAAAGACTTGCATCTTGTTTACAATGCTTTCTTCAGTGCCTAGAACAGCACCAGGCACATATTTTCAGAATGAATGAATAAATTTCAGAATCATACAGTGAAGGCCAGGACTTGTGGTGTATAGTCACTCCACAGACTGAGATGTGCCATCCACCGAAAATTTGGTTTGTTTACTGACAGTGAGAATACCTCACATGCACCAGGAAGATGTGAAAGTTTATTACTCACATCATGTGGCTTTCTGGGGATAGTAGGTTTGGCTCCCAAGCAGGTCCAAAAGTAGCCTCAGAGAGCAGGGGAATGATATGGAGTTCTAGTGTGGTTTGGGGATGGGGCTGGGATGAGGATTCCCATGCACCAGGTAGGGCTTGTGCAGTTTGAAACTCCTGCTAGGGCCAAAGGAGGGAGCACCTGAACTTTCTTATCAGCTTGCCCAGATGTAGGGCGGAAGGGGCAGGCAGGGAGAGGTGACAGTCAGACATCAGAAATGGGGTCAGAATGTTCATTACAGGTCCCATAGCAAGTAGGACTGTTTGGGCATTTCATACTCTTTGATCCTATCTAGCACCTAGCACATGAGATCCTCAAGGGATCTTATAAATCTAGGCAAACTGTCTTATTTTCCAGCAGAAGGCAGTTCAGTTTGCCTTGAGTTGTAAGATCCCTACAACTTAGAAAGAAGACTAAGCCCAGTCCCACTATGTCATTCCGTCTCTGTAGATCACAATTTGAGCTGACTTGATAGCTAGCTTCCCTATGGCAAGACATAGGGCTGTAGGGACTTAAAAACAGTCTTATACAATTTTTTAGACTCTGACTTTCAGAACCCTTTTCTATAAAATTCTTATAATATCTGCCATGCACTTTGTCAAAGTAAGGGATTCAATGGAAGAATGTTAATAATGTGCTGTCGGCCGTGCGCGGTGGCTCACGCCTATAATCCCAGCACTTTGGGAGGCCGAGGTGGGTGGATCACGAGGTCAAGAGATCGAGACCATCCTGGTCAACAAGGTGAAACCCCGTCTCTACTAAAAATACAAAAATTAGCTGGACATGGTGGTGCGCGCCTGTAGTCCCAGCTACTCGGGAGGCTGAGGCAGGAGAATTGCTTGAACCCAGAAGGCGGAGGTTGCGGTGAGCCCAGATCGTGCCATTGCACTCCAGTCTGGGTAACAACAGCGAAACTCTGTCTCGAAAAAAAAAAAAAAAAAAGAAATGTGCTGTCACATGATCATATTCTGTGAAGTCATTGCTAGGGTCAGAACATGGTGGTCTCTAGTTAAAGATCACTTGTTCTGGGCACTTCTTTGTGTGTGATGGAGTCTCACTTTGTCGCCCAGGCTGGAGTGCAGTGGCGCAATCTCAGCTCACTGTAAACTTTGCCTTCCAGGTTCAAGCAGTTCTCTGCCTCTGCCTCAGCCTCCCGAGTAGCTGGGATTACAGGTGCCTGCCACCATGCCTGGCTAATTTTTGTATTTTTAGTAGAGAGAGGGTTTTACCATCTTGGCTAAGCTGGTCTTGTACTCCTGACCTTGTGATCTACCCGCCTTGGCCTCCCAAAGTGCTGGGATTACAGGCGTAAGCCACTGCGCTCAGCCTGGTCTAGGAGTATTTCAGAGAACACTTTTGAGTATAAAATAGATGGACTATAATTATGTCATTTTATATACAGTAACAGAAATGAGGACCATTGCTTTGTGTGGGTTTGATTTCTACTTTTTATAATAAAAGTTTCAAATAAACAGAAAAGTAGAAAGACTAGCATAATGAGCATACCAACACCACTTACATCAGTTTAACAACTGTTAATATGCTGCCTTCTTTAATTAGTCTATTTAATTTTGTTTTTGAATTATTTTAAAGTAAATTAAAGCTACAATGATATTTTATCCCCAAATACATCAGTTTATATCTTAGAAAAATAAGAATATTGCCCTATATGGTCATGTTGTCATGATCACACTGAGCAAAAATAATGATTCCTTAATATCATTTAATATCAGTCCATATTTAAACTTTGTCAAGGCTTCAGTGGAATGTTTCATGAGATGTTGAGTAAACTTCTCATTGTGGATCTGAAACTCCTCATTCCCCAATTCACTGTGCAATTAATGATTTCTTCCCTCTTTATGGGAAACAGATGGGATTAACAAATTGTGACTGTTGCTTATTTCCCAAAAGATAAATCAGGCACATTGTAATAAGGAGGAGAAAAGTAATGTTTGCAAAATTCCTTGGACAAATCTCTATCTTGCAATTATGTGTATTTGCCTTTGATTATGTATTGGAGAAATTCTGAGCATTAAATCAGTCTCAAATGAGATAGTAAAGTTCTGACTGGATGTCACCATCTCCCATAATTTCCCTCAGAATGTGTGATGAAAGGGCTCCAGCCTGGGCTACAGAGGAAAACTCTGTCTCAGCAAATAAATAATAAATAAATAAATAAATAAATAAATAAATAAAAACGAAAGGCTTGAAAATAAAAGAAAGTAAGCCTTGAGATAGTGGTTTCGAGTCACTGAGTCAACAAAGTCAAAGGATCACTCTAGTTTTTTCTTTATCTTCCAACCAGACAGCTTTATATATTTTATTTTTTTAATTTTTTTGAGACAGAGTCTTGCTCTATCAGGTTGGAGTGCAGTAGTTTACTGCAACCTCCGCCTCCCAGGTTCAAGCAATTCTTGTGCCTCAGCCTCCAGAGTAGCTGGGATTACAGGCGCATGTCACCACACCCAGCTAATTTTTGTATTTTTAGTAGAGACGGGGTTTCACCTTGTTGGCGTGGCTGGTTTCGAACTTCTTTTTTTTTTTTTTTTTTTTGAGTCGGAGTTTTGCTCTTGTTACCCAGGCTGGAGTGCAATGGCGCGATCTCAGCTCACCGCAACCTCCGCCTCCTGGGTTCAGGCAATTCTCCTGCCTCAGCCTCCTGAGTAGCTGGGATTACAGGCACGTGCCACCATGCCCAGCTAATTTTTTGTATTTTTAGTAGAGACGAGGTTTCACCATGTTGACCAGGATGGTCTCGATCTATTGACCTCATGATCCACCCGCTTCGTCCTCCCAAAGTGCTGGGATTACACGCGTGAGCCACTGCGCCCGGCGGTTTCGAACTTCTGACCTCAGGTGATCCACTGGCCTCAGCCTCCCAAAATTCTGAGACTATAAGTATGAGCCACTGCACGCTGCCAGCCTTCTATATTTTAGAGAATCAAAATCAAGCATAGCCCCAAAGAGGGAATGATGCCTCGTTACTGACAGGTCTTGAAGAAGAGGGTAGAGAAATGGGCACACTTGTGTAGGAGAGTTATGCACTTGTGCACAAATTGTATCTGCTTCTCTAAATTCCTCATTTTGCTTTGCATGGGAATTCTCTGTCAGAGAAGTTGGAGAGGTTTAAAGATTTTGACTTTTCAGTTGAGATGATGCCAATTCTTTGTCATTTTGTTTTCTACTTTAGTTCTTTTTTCAAAATGATTTTTTCCTTTTATTGTAGGCTTTGCACTTCTGGGAGGACACCCTTGTTTTCTTACCACACAAGATATTCATTTGGGTGTGAACGAAAGTCTCACAGACACGGCTCGGTTTGTAAATATTTTCTTCTCTCCAAAGCTGATTTCAGAATCTGATGGATAAATTTCAAAAAGAAAACATGCTTCTCTTTAAACAACAGTTTTCCCTCTAATTGTTCTGTTCTCCATTTTCCCTCTTTCCCTGATATTCTAAATGCCTCTCCCTCATCCTATGGCCACTTACCATGGGTTGAAATTATTTTTCTTGGCAATTTTTTGAAGCAGCTTCTGATTATAAAATTTAAACTTATGGAAATTTTGAGATCATCAAGTATGACTTTTAGATTTAAAAGTTGAAAAGGAAATGAAGGTCCAGGGAAACTGATGTTCAGTGACTCCTAACTAGTTACTATCAGATTAGTTAATAATATTAATAACTATTAATAACATTTATTGAGCATTTATTATGTGCCAGGCATTTTTCTAACTTGTTTAATTCTTATAACAACCCAAACAGATTGTCATAAAGAAGTGAAACAATTAGGCACAGACTAGCTGCTGTAACACAAAATCTCAAATGTCAATATGTAACATAGTGCAGATGTTCCTGATTGATAAGAGGGAAGAACAGGTTATTAATTTGTGTGGGTTATTCAGGGACACTGGCTGAGAATGAGTCTGTCATCTTCAAAGAGAACAGAGCACGGAGAAGGCGTGCTTGTTTCAAAGCCACCTTAGCAGAGATGCAATGCAAACACTTCCACTTATATTTCATTAGGAAGTACTAGTAGCTCACTCCAATCTAGATGAAGGGAGAGATGGGGAAAGGCTCTTACCCACTATATTATAATGAGAGACTGAAGCATAGGCTTCCTGACTCCTCATGCAGTGCTCTTACCACTACATCATGTCTGGCTAAAAAATCCAGAGCAAATATCTTTGTTAAAAGTTTTGCCCGCAAAAGAGAAGACTAATGATTATTTTCCTGAAAATGATACGCCATAGAGTTATTTCTTGCAGATACAGTCTGCTTTTTATGGCAACCACCCTAGCATATACTAAAGAATTTACCTCATTTGACTTGCTGAAGAGATTTCAAATAACTCATCTTTAAACCTTTTAGTTATGTTATTTCAGATGGGACCATGAAAGTATTAAAGAAGTGTGACTAGCCTTCGGATTCTAGGAACAAAAGGAATAAATGAACGTAATTTTTTTCTTCCAAATAAGCTGCCACTGGCTAGGATTATATTTGTCTAATACTTCTGCTTCCACAAAACTGAAATATACTTTATTCAAAAGCAAATATTACAAGCTGATCAAGGGATGAAGCCAGAGACATATCCAAGCAAAAATTCAGTGGAAAGCCTCCATATAGGACCAGGTGAAATATGGTGAATGGGTCATATGTAAAGTACTGTTTGGAAGAGGGTTCAGTGGGAGGAACAGCTGAGCATCCAAAAAAGTTGGCCAGTGCAGGTTGGCAGTCAGAAAGAGGTCAGGGTCCAGAAATCAGTGCAGTGGGAAGGATCCCAAGAGCAAGAGACAAATAGCCAAGCATGGGCTGAAAATTGAGGATGGTTATAAACGTGCTCTTTTCTATGCTTGCTGTCCACACAATGCTCACTGCAAGTCCTTAGTTAGAGGAGCTCTACACAGATCCTGAGCAAAACAGTCTGCTTACAGTTTTTTTTTTTGTTGTTGTTGTTGTTACAAGTTCCAAAACGATTGGGATATTTTGGGTCCATATAATTATTATAGTTCCATTGCTACATGAATACATGGATCCATAAAATGGAGTTCATTCAATTTATTTTGACCATTTTATCTTATCCAAAACACTGAAAATAATAGCTACTCCTTAAAGAGTGTCTGCGATGGACATCTTGTGGCATTATCTCTAAATCTTTTTAAAAATCTTGCAAAGTAAGTATTATTGGCCTGGTTTTATAGATGAGGAAAGCATGGCTCAGAGAAGTTAATGGAGCTCAGAAGCTGACTAAGTCAGGATTTAAATCAAGCTGTCATTTTTTAAGGCCATGTTGTTTTGGCTTCCCCATAATGCTGCTTCTATTCAACCCAGGAGAGGGGCAGTGAAACAAGTTATAGAAAACATTGACTTGCATATCAGGAGGTCCCCATGACAACCCAGAGGTTTGATGATTCACTAGGACTCACAGGACTCAGCATATAGTCATACTCATAGTTATGATTTATTACATTGAAAAGTATACCAAGCACAATCAACAAAAAGAAAAGTCAGAAGCAGGAAAATTAAAGGAGTTTCTGCTTTGCGGAAAAGATGACAGATTAGGTACTGAACATTAAAGGTTGAACCTCTAAGTGCAAATGTTCACAAGCCATTGGAGATAAAGACCTTGAGTGAAGTTGAGAGCTGGAGAAATATAAGCTCAGTGGTAAAAATTAGCTCCACGGTCTCAATGTGGGAGAATTCTAGAAAACTGTGCCATGAGAACAGGTGCAATTAGGGTGGGGGAGGAGGAGATCCTCAGGGTACAAAGTGAACAAGGATAGTACAGTATCAGAAGAGGTTGGGGTGGGAGATGGGGGATGTCAGAAAAAGGAGTAGAGTAGCTATTGTAGAAATCTGACTCTCTTCCGTGTACCTCATTACTGCTTAATCTGCCTAAGTATCTGACAAACAAGATATGCTGGGAGTCAGAAATTCAATAAAGCTAAATTGAAGAAGACAAGAGAAATCCACTGCCTTCCACAGAAACAATTGAATAGGAGACGCAAGGAAGCGAATCTTAATGACATCTACCTTGCTGATATGCACCTTATAACCTTTAGCAATCGCCTGCTTTGCTTTTTGTAGAAGTTTAACATTTTAAGGTGCAAAGGGATTGGAGGATGTTTAAATGACATTGCTGGCCCTTTCAAATCAAGAGTGGTGCATACCTGACACTGATTGACGGTGTTGCTTCTCCATCTGCCCATCCAGCTGCTTTGGGGGGCCTGGTAGAATAAAAACTGCCTGCACATTGGTGAAAGAAGAGCCTGAGGGATAATATAGTGAATGCAGCAAAAGAAATGAAAAAAAAAAAAAAAGAAAATCAGGCAGTCTCTTGAAAGCTGTTAAATGCAATTTCCAAAGTGTCACTTATTTGTTCAAATGATTTAATTATTAATTTATTCAGAAATAGTTATTGAATGCCTCGTTTTGCTTCCAGACATTGTTTTAGCACTGAGAATAAAATGCTGATCAAGGCTGGGCGTGGTAGCTCACGCCTGTAATCCCAGCACTTTGGGAGGCCAATGGGGGTGGCTCACCCGAGGTCAGGAGTTTGAGACCAGCCTGGCCAACATGACGAAACCCTGTCTCTACTAAAAATACAAAAATTATCTGGGCATGGTGGCAGATGCCTGTAATCTTAGCTATTTGCAAGGTTGAGGCAGGAGAATCACTTGAACCTGGGAAGCGGAGTTTGCAGTGAGCCGAGATTGCACCACTGCACTCCAGCCTGGGCGACAGAGCAGGACTCCGTCTCAAATAAATAAGTAAACAAATAAACAAATAAAACAAAATGCTGATCAAGTCAAACAAGAATCTTGTTGGAGTGGAAATTACATTCTGGAGCGAGGAGGCTTTTGCTAAACAAATAAATAAAGCATAGATAGAAGAGCAGGTTGAAATAAGTGCTATGCTGAAGCTAAAGCAGGTTTATTTGTTGGTGGGGTGGGGACTGCCTTACACTGGATAGTCAGGGAAGGCCTCTCTGAGGAGGTGACAGTTAAGAGCTCAATAAAATGACAGAGCCAGGTATGCAGTGCTGTGGGAAGAGCGTCACAGAAAGAACTGCTGATGCAGAAGCCTAAGGCAGCAGCAAGCTGGATGTGTTCAGGAACAGAAGGAAAGCCAGTAGTGTTGTAACATCGTCAAAGAAACGTATTTTAAACCTGATTTTTTTAAATAAGCACCTTACAGATTGGTCCTCAGTCTCACCCACCAAAGAAAGGAAAGATAAAATCAGAACAAGGAATAAAAATCCTAAATACATGTTCAAAATAAAATGTATTGTACAGCAGATCTTTAGAACTTATTCACGGCCAGGTATGGTGGCTCATGCCTGTAATCCCATCACTTTGAGAGACCGAGGCAGACGGATCACCTGAGGTCAGCAGTTCGAGACCAGCCTAGCCAACATGATAAAAACCCATTTCTACTAAAAATACAAAAAACCAAAATTCCGCAGGCCTGTAATCCCAGCTACTCAGGAGGCTGAGGCAGGAGAGTCACTTGAGCCCAGGAGGTGGAGGTTGCAGTGAGCTGAGATTGTGCCACTACACTCCAGCCTGGGCAACAGCGCAAGACTCTGTCAAAAAAAAAAAGAGAACTTATTAATTCATCTTCTATAACTTAAATACCTGTTGAACAGCTATGCTTATTGCCCCCGACCCCTAACCCCTGGAAACCACCATTCTACTCTCTCCTTTTATGTATTTGACTATTTTAATGTCTTATGTAGGTAGAATCGAGCAGTATTTGTCCTTCTGTGACTGGCTTATCTCACTTAGCATAATGTTCTCCGCATTCATTTATGATATTGCATATGCCGGGATTTACTTCTTTGTAAGGCTGAATGATATTTCATTGTAAACATATGCCACATTTTCTTTATCCATTCATCTGTTGATGAATATTTAGGTTGTTTCCACATATTGGCTATTGTGAATAGTGCTGCAAGGAACACAATAATACAAATATCTCTTGCAGTTTCTGATTTCAATTACTTTGGCTAAATACCCAGAAGTGGGCTGAATCATACGATAATTCTATGTTTAATTTTAAAAGGAAATTCCACACTGTTTTTCATAGTGGCGGCACCATTTTACATCACCACCAATGGCGCACAAGGGTTCCAATTTTCCACATCCTTGTCAACACTTGTTATCTTTTGTCATTTTGATGACATTCATCTTAACAGGTGTGAAGTGATATTGTACTGTGGTTTTAATTTGCATTTCCCTAATTATTAGTAATATTGAGCACATTTTCATATACCTCTTAGCCACTTGTATGTCTGTTTTGCAGAAATATCTATTCAAGT